AATTGAATTGTGAGACAGTGAACAAAATGTATGATTGTTACACATTGCCCTCGATATTATTCAATTATTAGTTATTTAATACGAGGGCTGCTATATATATTTCTGGTCTAATAATAAAAATGCTAATATTTATCATCAAAAATTGTTTTATTGTTTTTCAAAGTATTCTCCAGCCTGATTTATACAATTTTGCATGCAATCAAAACAATTGTTGAAGCACTTTTTCCACTTCAATTGAGACACCTCCAAAACATGGTTTTTGAAAGCTTCGACAGCAGCTTCTGGCGACGAAAATCGTTGACCACGCATTTTTTTTCTTGATGTGCGGGAATAAAAAGAAGTCAAAAAAGAAGACCCATCAATTCGACGTTTTGGCCGGTCAAAAAGGCGCTGGTTTGAGCCAATGTGTGACAGCTCGCGTTGTCATGGTGAACAATGATTCGTCTTCTCTTGTTCGTTTTTCAAATTTCTCCGAACCCTTCAGGCACACAAATTGTGGTGTACCACTCAGAAGTGACCGTCCTTCGTTGTTCAAGTTTTGCCGAAGAAACAGGCGACTGTTTCCTTCGAAGTGCTTCTTCCACGAACAACTTTCGTTGGATTTGGCTCGTCTTCGAAGACCCACACGGTCGATTGTTGTTTTGTTTCATATGCATAGATTCATGATTCGTCACCTGTGATGATCTTATAAACGTCGTTTGAAGCACCGCGAACGTATTTTTTCAACATTTCTTTGCACCAATCGAGCCTTTTTTTGAGCGATTGTCAAATTATGCGGGATCCAACAAGAACAAACCTTTTTTACTGCCAGGTGTTCATGCAATATCGAATGTGTGCTGGTGGGCGAAATGCCCAAAGATGCCTCTATCTCACGGTATGTCACATGACGATCTTGCATTATCAGTTCACGCACGGCATCAATGTTCTCTGGCATATCGGCCGTTTTTGGACGACCTTCACGGAATTCGTCGTTGAGCTAACGTCGGCTACGATTGAATTCATTAAACCAGTTTTTCACGGTGCTATAGGATGGTGCTTCATCGCCATACAAAGATTTAAGTTCATCAATGCACTCTTGTCGTGATAATCCACGTCGAAAGTTATGAAAAATGATAGCACGAAAATGTTCATGTATTAATTCCATTTTTCAAGTCTCTGTAAATAAAACTATTCACAATTAAATGACAACACGTTCTGAGTGATGTTATGCTAAAAAATGTCAACCTTTCCCATGGAAATGTCAGATTGCACCTGGCAACACTTAATGTTGCATAGGCCAGAAATATATACAGCAGCCCTCGTAATATCTGGATAATAATAATAATAATAATAACAGTCCATTATTTGATTAATCAATATACCAATATTGTTTTAATTTAATTTTCATTTAAATTTTGCAGTGGTTAAATTTTTTTTTGATACAGATTCTAAATTTCAAATTTAAATTATAATTGCAACTAATATTTGCTTACAATTCTTGTTTTTATATTGACATTTTAATGCTTTTTGGCACTATTCATATTGCCGGATAAAAATCGCATGATTGCTAATTCTCCTAAAATAAACGAAGCGCTTATTTAAGAATTTAAGCGTAGAGATTAGAGCTTTATCGATAGTGATTAATAGAATCGGCCGACTGAAGTCCTTAAATGACCGCTTAATAAGCATTAGTATATAAAGTAAACATAAAAGTAGTTGCTTACCTGTAAATTATGCGCGGATAAAAACCAAGTCTAGAAATTATCCATACCACAGTAAATATACCAAATATCGTATCACATACTTTTTGATACTTTGCATATTTTGTTAATTTGGCTGCCTAAAACAATGAAAAAAGTAAATTATTATATTGGGAATTAGAAATTAGTGTTGTTAGTTACATATTAAATTAACTGCTTATTTTAAATAAAAATTAATTATAGAATTTAAACGAAAGTATCCATACAAAATTTTGAGTCAAAAAACTTATTAATGTCTTTGAAAAGTTCTAACTTCTAAAACGCAAATAAATTTATGATACAATTAAGAATATCTCCAAATTGGTCACATACCAAATTGTACAGTGTCGTAACAGGAATGAAGCAGCATAACTGATTTAAAGATACTATCCGCTACATAGATTACACTATCAAACAATTCAAAAATTTTTAATTGTTAATCATACCACAAAATATATTAGGTTAGTACGAGAATAGAGAATATCTAAATTCCCACACAGGAAATAAGATCACACTGCACATAAATGCAAAAATATTCAAAAATATTCACACCAAAAGTATAGTCCCTATGGTAAAATCAAAGAATCTAGAGAAGTGCCACGCACATACAAACGAAATACCCACTTTATTTTACTGGTGGATTTATAATAAATCCATCCAACCTCATGCAACAATGTTCGATCGAGTCACAACTGGTATGATGTTCAGTTCAAACTCATTGCAACCCACAATTGTTTTTATACGCCTGTTTCTTTTGCCTTTCTTGTTTTTATTTGTTTATTTAATTAATATACATGGATTAGTAACGAAGTGAATGGTAAAAAAATCCTTCAAATAAATTTTCCATATACTTTGAGTAAAGAGTAATAAAATATATTATTTTTTTATTGCAAAAAATGATGCACTACAAAAACCATTATGTATGTACAAATGTGATATTGGAGACATTAAGTCTTCAGTATATAAATATGTATGTTTTTATTGCACATTTGTGCATATATTTTACCTTAAAAGGAACTACTTCTTAATAGTTTGAGTTTTTGGTGACTTTTTGTAATTATTTTAAAAAATATTATTGTAAATAAGACGTGTTTTGTGAAGTCTGTTACAATTTTTAGGATTTTTAAAGAAAATAAAAATATTAAAAATATATGAAAAATTGTAATGAAAAAATGTGTAGAAGTCATTAAAACCACTAATAATGCTTCCAGGTTTGAGGAAACGCATAAATGCTATATACACCGGATTGAAATGTTAAAATTGGTGATTACGATATTGCTTCGGAAACATTGCGCTTGGACAACATTTAAGAATAAACCTTCATAGAATGGAAAAAATCAGATTTGAGACATAAATAAATTTGTAAGTGTTTTTACACCACAATTCATACCAATAGCAAACACTGAAATGCTGTTTGATCGCTTGAACATTTTATAGCGAACAAATATACAAACATGCTTATAATGTAATACAGAGGGTTGCATGTATGATTGAATATGTATGCAGTCGGGCTTTTGTCATCCTTACTTGACTCAAATATAGGTTTGAACTGAACATCATACCAGTTCTGACTCGATCGAACATTGTTGCATGAGGTTGGGTGGATTTATTATAAATTCACCAGCAAAATAAAGTGGGTATTTCGTTTGTATGAGCGTGGCACTTCTTTGTACTACAGATTCTTTGGTAAAACATTAGTTAAATAGATGCACTGCCAGACTATAATGTACAACACAGAATAAAATGTGAAAGATGAACGGTACCAAGTGCATAGCCAAGCATTTTTGTGAATTTTTGGAAAAAATTAATATGTAAACCAAAACTAACATTTAATTTCAACAAAAATTCTGAACTTATTAACAATTTTTTAATAAACGTATTACAAGACTTTATTATCTAAGCACATCCATACAAGGCAATTTTTTTAACACAAATGGATTTCGTGTACGAAGCCACCATTCCAACGTAACCTAATTAAATCTACACAGCGAAATATATTAAAAGTGCGATTACAATTTTTTACAAAACATGATTATAGCTCATTTAACTGGAGTTTCGTAAAGTTCAACTTTCTGGGTCAGTATTTATTGTTTACCAATCATAACAAATGCCAATCAACATACTGAAAGAAAGTGTTTCAGTTTAAAATAAATTAGTTAGATGTTTTGTTTTAAAATATTTGTTTGCCACTTTCACGAAATCATTATTTAAGCATTTAGGCCATGACAACTGAAGCAGGATTCTTTGCAATATTGCTGTAGTGGTTATGATACATTTTTGTTACTGTTAGTTAAACAAATATTTCCTTTACTACTTTTCTTTTATTCATAACAACACACTCACCGTGTTTATCTGTCAACCTTTTAAAGAGGGTGGGTGCTAAGCAAGACGCAATTCTGTCGGACATACCAAATGTATTAACCATCGTTGTAAAATGCAAAAGATTATTTCTTGATTTCTAAAATTTTCTTTGTGAAAGAAGAGAATTTGAATTTATGTAATTGACATCTGTTTGATATAGTACTTAGTTGAGATCATAATTTCCTGAAGGCATAGTTTCTACCGCAGTTTTTATTTCACAAGCCGTATTTTACATGTATTCCTGTATAGTTAGTCTTTTATTATTGGGCTGATTTAACATACTGTCCTTTAAAGTCGACTTATTTTACGTGGGAAGATGTAAAAGTACCTTTAAAATTTTGCGTTCCTGTAGACTGATTTCTCATCCGACAAGGAATTTTATGTTTCATTATTTAATCTAAATTCATAAAGTAAAACTCGATTTTGTACAAGCGGAGCATGAGAAACAATCTGTTTTGTAAAATATGCGGAATCATATTTTATATTTGCAGTTTTTAGTAGTTGTTACCCACAATGATCCATATGATTACCCAAATATATAAATTAAATAAAAAAATATTATTTTTTGTAGCTCTTTATTTTATCGCTTCTTAAGCTCTACTCATGTTGCGCCTATGCACCTGTATTACGATAAGGTGAAAAGCAAAGATGATAGAGCCATCCGCACTCTCAGAGAGACTACTTATCAAAATTTTGTTCGTTAACTCTTCCCTTCTTAGTTCAAACATCCTTGTTTGATTTAATATTGTAGCATATGTAAAGATGTGATGATGATAATGCCGTTTGATGGTTTGTGTTTTAATAATATAGGTATACAATTTAATTCACTTACATTTAAGATTACATTATTTCTCCATATAACTAATTCATTACTTTTCTTACATTTACTTTTAATTCTTACAAACAATAATGTTTACGAATTAATTTCATAACGTTTGTTTTATGTTTTACAGATTTTAACAAATTGTTTCACATATTTCCATCTCAATTGTAACACTTCGTTCAATAATGTGTGTGACTGAGACATAGATGGCGGCACTAATACTAAATAAATATTTTTTTTCGAAAGTGGCAACCTTTTTAGGCTTACTGTCAAAATCATATGTTAATCCGACCATTTGTTTACAAGTGACAGTGCTTTAAGTGACGCTACTTCTGAGTTTTCAAAAAAAATGAATTCAAAGCAATTTCGTGCGCTGATTTATCATTGTTTTTTAATGAAAAAAAATTCTGTTCAATGCCAGGAATGGCTTGAAAAACATTATTCGGACTTTGTTTCATCAAAAAGAAGCATTTGTTATTGGTATGCCGAATTCAAACGTGGTCGTACAGACACCGATGAAATTCCATCTACTGGACGTCCAAATGACGCTGTTATTCCGGAAAACGTTGAAAAAACACTGAAAATCATTATGTCCGACCGTAAAGTGAAAGTGAAGGAGATTGGTGACATTCTACAGATATCAGCAGGTAGTGTACACACCATAATACACTAGGGTGGCTCACGTTATAAGGGGGAAAATTAAAAATGAAGTTTTGAATGAGAGCACCCCCTAGGAATATGTCATTGACCAAAAAAATGATATTCCCAAAGTTTTGGAGCAATAGGATTAAAAATGACGTTGCGCCACTCGAGCAAAGTTGGGTTTTCAGTACAAAAAACAGAAATTTTTCAATTCAAGGTCATTTTTTATCGTTGTTACTTGTTTCAACAGTTGTTAACATATACTCATTTAATAGATAATTAAAATATCTTTTTAATAAGATACTGATGAGTAAAATCGGTTAAAAATTATGCACAAAACACAATAATTAGTTGAGCGACTGTGCTCTGTTTTCTATTTCATACCTTTTAGCTGGCATGGAGCAAAAACAACAACGAATCGATGATTCAAAGAGCTGTTTGGACATATTTACGCGCAATAAGTCAGAGTTTTGCGTCGGTACATCACGATGGATGAAGCATGGATCCACCATTTCACTTCAGAGTTAAATCGGCAGTCTGCTGAGTGGCATGCAGCCGGTGAAAGCCGCCCAAAGCGACCAAAGACGCAGCAGTTGGCTGGCAAGGTTATGGCGTCTGTATTTTGGGATGCGCATGGAATAATATTCATCGACTATTTCCAGAAGGGGGAGACCATCAACAGCGACTATTATATAGCGTTATTGGAGCGTTTGAAAGACGAAATCGCAAAGAACGGCTATTTGGCGAAGAAAACAGTTTTTGTTCTTCTCAGACATGGCTCGTGTCACAGTCGATACACCGATTTGCTGATCTGGCCCCAGCGATTACTTGGTTCTTCGCAGACCTCAAAGATGCCCCTGTTGTAGAGATTTGGCTCAATTATGAGTAATCATTCGAAACTAACGCCTATTTTGAACGGCAAGAAAAATCGTTTTTACAAAGGCGTATCGAAAGATTGCAAAAGCGTTGGAATGATTGTATCTCCCTAAAACGGGACTATGTTGATGAATAAAAACGAATTTTGGCAAAAAAATGTGTTTTAATTAGTTAGTCACACACATTATTGACCGAAGTGTTAGGTATACTTATAATATAAAAATTTTGATTTTCATTGGTAGCAGTGCTAATATCTACAAATTGCAATGCTTACTTTAAGTTTTCATAAGGAATATGAAATATTTTCTTTTCGAAAATATTTATAACAATTTCTAATTTGATAATATAAATGTGTTTACAATTTTTTCTTTTCTCCATTGGAGGGCTTATTCAATATTT